CCACGCCCACCCCCACCACCACCACCACCACCACCACCACCCCCACCACCACCACCACCACCACCACCACCACCACCACCACCACCACCACCACCACCACCACCAAGAAGCCACTAAGCTGAGGGTTATGGCAGGCTGCGACTGGTTTGAGTGCTGAATGGGTGCAAGACTGGGACTGGAAAGCGTGAAGCTAGACCCGCTGGGCGAGTTGGAGCTTGTAGTTAGTAAAGGGTGCAATTCTTTTGGAATTGATTTCGGCTTTGCTTTCGACTATTTTGAGAGAAACTTATTGATTTCCTCTCTTGTTTTCTGGAGTTGCCTATGTGATGTGAGCAGCTGGCTCGATATTGGCTTCAAAGTGGGCTCTTGGGCTTGGAGGAGGGGAAGGCAAAATGGGCAGACGACAGGCCTCGACCCTTCAATTCTCGGCCTTTTCGTCAAAAACTTTTCCTTAAGCCAGACTCGCCACTCGTCTCAACACGGGAAGTTTCATGATTGTGCCGTAAGCGTCTGAGCTTGGCTTGTGATATTGGGATGTGCAGGCGGCGCAGTGGGCGAGTGAAGCCGCAGCCCAACGTTCAGCGAGCAGGAAGATCCAAAATCCAGCTGCATTCGCAAGATCGCAGAAGGAGAAAGGTTACATCAGAGACATCAGCTTTGCCCCAGCTGTTTTGTACCATTTGCCAAGTGTTTCTTGACAGCAGCTCCTGTTGCGTGTGAGCTCCATATCTTCTTTCTTGTGCGGCAAGCTGAGGCAGTGCACAAGTTCTGCTGATTTTGCGCAACATCTCGCAGGAAAACGGCACAAGAAGTTGCTGAAGCGCGCCGGACTGAACGAATCCAATGCACCACAACTCGCGCATGCCTCAACAGAAAACACAAAAATCCCAAAGAAGCTTGGCAGCATTTCAAGCCACCGCACTGTACAGCAGATTCCATGCTACGCTACCGTAGCATGCCCACACCACGAAAGCTAGCTATTTGCAGCTTGCCGGAGTTTCCGTTTATGTGTTTCTGCGGCTTGGGCCAGACTTTCCTTTGTTTTAGACCTGCAAGAGATTCGCATGCTTGTGCCTGGGTAGGCCCCCCCTGTTGACATCCCAGCAGACCTCATGTGAGCTCCTGTCAATATT